GTCATTCTCCATGCATCAGCATTAGCGCGTCGCGTTCGGTTGCGACAGTAACACGACGACACTCTCTTCAAGATCAATGTTCCCAATATTATACTTTATTTGTAGATAAGGCATAAAGGTCTATGATTTGCATAACATGACTATCTTGCTGGAGTGGAGTTTATTGCCCTTTAGAATACACTAAGCATTAGTGCTGCACGATTAATTATATCGCAGTCGTAATAGCGATCTCAAACCTATGCAATTATATAACGCAAAATGCCGCGATTTTATATGAAATAAACAAAGTAGGGCTATTAGCGCAGCATCTCTTCTTTTTTGTCATCCTTTGACTAGTGTTACAAGATCCCCCTCTTATTGGTTCAAATGCCTTTTCGCATTTTGCACGACAAGAAGTGAAAAGCTGCCTGTGAGTGCCCTAGATTAGAATAGATGAGACTCGCATAATGCGCATGCACTGACCGTGTGCCAGCCCAGAATAAACAGTTCTCTTTCGAGCTTGAACGAACAATAGCACACACAATTATGCCAAAATGTGGTTTTGTCTAGTATCTTCATAACATAAGAAAAGTCTATGGATGAAAAGGAGTTGTGCTATGAGGCGCGTGTGAGATCCGCGTCTCGGCAACGGGTGCTCTTAAAGGGCCAGCAGCGAATAAAGCGTTCTTTCAGTAAAGTTAAAAGAACAAAGGGAAATTAGAAAATTACTCACTGATCTTGAGTAAAGAACTTTTGTAGCTTTAATAAGGATTATTATATATATAATTTATGATTCAGGCAGCGCAGACTGTTTGATAACTTTATTCAATTTCTGTACCTGTTAAGACAGGAAGGGCACAGGTAAATATGTTTTTTATTATGGGTTTATGTGGGGATTGTTTGAAGTTCACTTAATTTAAAGCTGTTATATATTTTTTTTAAGCCTAATAATTTTTTAAAAAGTTGATGGCTTTCAATTGATGGAATCACTGTAATGTTGGTTTGGTTGATGGTTTATTGATCATTATAGGTGTTATCAATCATTTATTGTTGTGTTGTTGTTTTTAGTTTGAGTTGAGAAATAAACATTAATCTGTGTGTGCATTTTACTTTAGAACCAAGCAAGTTGGACTCATGAAACCATTTTATTATATCGGAGTCGCAAATCGCAATTGCAATATTGGCTCAATAATGGCAATATGACATTTTCCCAAATCGTGCAGCCCTACTAAGCATAGATTATAGATACCATCCCTTCGCTATGTTCTTTTCAATGTGAAGCGTTGCGTGCTGTGACTTGGTGTTGCTTCAAGTGCATCATTCTGCACACGGGATGCGCATGATTGCTTATAATACTTTGGGGAGACAAGGGGGCGTGGCCTAAGGGAATATCACTCGTGATGTTAAGTGATGTTACCCCGCCATCGCTGATACAACCTTTAGCAGTCATGTTTTTGCTTCTTGAGAGAGAGAGAAAGTGTGTGTGTGTGTGTGTGTGTGAGCAGTGGCGGTTCTAGGCGGGGGCCTGGGGGGGCCAGTGCCCCTGCGACAACAAGCTTGGACCCCCTTGTGGCCCCCTAAATGTGGAGTCAGTGTGAAATATTTTTTTATAGTGTGTCACGCATTGAGCATGACAGTCACTCGTTTCAGTCTTTTGTCTCACACTCCCGTCACACATTGTATTTCTCATGCGGAAAAACTATTAATAATATATTTAATATACGCAATTTCTCTGGCCGCGCCGCTCTCACGTGAGAATCAAGCGCGTCTCGCCTGGAGTTCAGCAGTCGACCCTGCTACGCATCAGCCAATCAAAAAAAAGAGAAGTGCTACTTAATAGCCAATCAGAAAAGGGCACTATTGTATCTGGGTAAAATTTAACGCAACAACCAATGAAAAAAAGCATATCCTGGAATTGTTCATATGATTCTGTTACAACATCTTCCGAAAGTTTCTTCACCCGTCCCACAGATGAAACTAATCACTGGAGCTCCGAACATCACTTGGAGCACGGAGTAAGTCATGATCTCCTGTTTTAATGTTACAACAAATTCACAACTTGTTTGACAAAAACTATGACAACTTGACTGATGTAAGATGAATCTTTCCCGTAGCGTAAGCTAGCTTACGCAATGCTCGTTCCCTCATCTAGAGAGAACCGAGGTTACGTTAGGTAATCGATTCGTTTCCCATTTAATTAGTATCAGTCTGTAACTTAGACAACAGTTTTACAGCCTGTTCACTGACAACACCTGCTCAGAACAAGTAGTCTAGGCCTAGTCATCTTATTACACGAATCACGATGACTGACATATTGTCACATTATAAACATCTCTCTCTCCAAATAGGCTTAATAATTTTATTAGCACTAGATAAATTAAAGTGTAATGCATAGTCGATTTTAAAACATCTCTCTCTCCAAATAGGCTTAATAATTTTATTAGCACTAGATAAATTAAAGTGTATTGCATAGTCGATATTATAGGTCACTTTTAAAATCATGTCATATTTTATAATTATATCCTGGCCAAGGATGCATTAATTATTGCTTCTGTCTTTCAAAGATGTCAGGAAAAAACAATTATAAAAAAGCTCATTCACCCTGAGAGGAAAGCCCCCTAAAAAGGCCAGTTTAGAGGATAATTTGCTGATCTTTTTGCAAAAAAAAAAAAAAAAAAACCCCACAAAAATCGTAGATTAATTTGTAATTATATATATATATATATATATATATATATACATACTGTATATTCAATGTAAAAAAATAAAATGGAAATTCAAATACAGACTGATATATGTAATGCAAATGTAAAAATATAATGGAAATGCAAATTGTTGGATAATTATAAACATGGTATTTTGCTTATTTATGCATTCAGTGCAGTGCAGAAAATGATAAGGTCTAAATGTAACTGGCCCCTCTAACAGTACAACTGGCCCCAGCTTGGCCCCCCAGTTGAAATGGTCTAGAACCGCCACTGTGTGTGTGAGAGAGAGAGAGAGAGAGAGAGAGAGAGAGAGAGAGAGAGAGAGAGAGAGAGAGAGAGAGAGAGAGAGAGAGAGAGAGAGAGAGAGAGAGAGAGAGAGAGAGAGAGAGAGAGAGAGAGAGAGAGAGAGAGAGAGAGAGAGAGAAAGTAACAAAGTTTAATATTGTTTGTAAACTGTGTTTGAGAGAGGAAGGTGTTCAGAGAGTCTGTAGGATGTTAAGCTTTTATTTGTTTTATGGACTCAATGTTGAAAATTTAAAACATTTCAAACACACTGTTGGCAGAAGTGAAAAATAAATAATTTTATGAAGTTACAATTTTGTTTGATTCCATGGTGTATTTTACTGAACATGAGTATTTACAATGCAAATTATTGTAATTTACTGGCAAACACTTATCTTGTCTTTTCATTTTATTAAAATCAGATTCTGCATGTAAAATTAAAATAATAAGGTGACTTGACTTGCACTTGACTTAACCTACTACAAGACTTGACTTGACTTGACATAGCCTGTGACTTGACTTGACTTGCCCCCCCCCCCAAAAAAAAATACTTGGGACTTACTTGAGACTTGACGGTTAAGACTTGAGACTTACTTGAGACTTGCGTGACCTGCGCCCATCTCTGCTCTAAGTTTTAAGACAGTTCAAATGGAAGTTGGGAATTATGTGTTGTTTGAATAAATCTCCTAGGAGAAATACATCAAATTACAACGCATGTGTTTACCAATCACCACCATACTCGGTGTGCATGAAGTCAAGACATTGAGGATGCTCAAATCCGGACGGATTTTTGATATCTCGAACGGTTTGGCCGTGGTGAGGAAAATAATTTTATGACTAAAAAAGGACACATAAAATGTGTTAACTTTGCTCGTTTTACCTACAGTTACAAAACATGCCACATATATTGTTCTTGTCAAGCCGATCAACTTTCTAATTAACAGCTCAGACCAAAAGAAAGTCAGATATTGCAGTTTGGATGTGTATCTTGTCTCTATCAGTGTCTGTATGGGGAAGAGGGAGGGGGGGGGGGGTTGCTGGTGTCTGCGTTTATGTGTGTGTGTGTGTGTGTGTGGCTGACTGTAGATTTTTTCTGCAAGTCCTTATCTTTTTGCATAACAATTTTGTATTTTTTTAAATGACAAAATATGCATATAACCCTAATCTTTTAAATGTATAGTTTGCTTTAAATAAAAGTAAGATAAATTGGTAAACTACAAATTGGTAATTGAAGCTGAATGAATTTAAAATTAATGTGCTATATTTCAATACATTTGCTTTCCTTAATATTGTAAAACACTAACCTCATTTATATGTGTGTGTGTGTGTGTGTTTGTATGTATATATATTTTGCAAAGCCCTCACTGATGCAAGCTCTTCTGCACACTTCTCTTCGACAGTCAATGCGGAGGTTAAGTTTTTGCACGTCGTGCAGAATAACCCTCTTTATATATATATATATATATATATACTTAAAAAAGCGGGGGTTAAGTTTTTGCACGTCGTGCAGAATAACACTAAAGGCACCATATATATACTTAAAAGTGGGGTTGTTCGTTTTATCTACAGTTACAAAAATCGGTATATACATTGTACTCCTCAAGCCGTACAACTTTCTAATACATAGTCATTAGCTCGGACCAAGAGGAAGTCAGATATTTTGGTCTGAATATGGTGAGCCTCTCTCTGAGCCTACGTCCCTGTATGGCAAGCCCTTTTAACATTTAAAAGCTAAGTTTGCCTGTCCGGAATTAACATTGTAGATATCAACAAAGTCTTTCTGTCTAGTCGTTACACTTTGGATAGTTTGTATTATCATTTAAGATATCTGTAACATAATTGTGACTAGTCGAAATGACAGAGTATGGCAAGCCGTTTTAACATTTAATCATGAAAGGGCCAAAGCCTTCGGCACCGCCACCCGGGTGCCTTTAGGTAACTAAAGGAACCGGGGTTGCGGTGCCTCCGGCTTGGGCCCGCCATCGCTGCTCGCAGCTATATTTTAGATTATTTCTCCACTGTTTTTCTTAGTCTGAGCAGCCTGGTGAAGTCGGGGGACACAGGAAATGGAGTGTCGTTTCATTCGGGCGACAATGTCACGATGGACCTGGAGCCTCAGACTCTGGGGGTGTCGTTCATCGACAGGGCCATGCAGATGGTAAATCTGGCCTTTTTTATAACTTGTGTCTCGTGAATTGTTAAGTAAACTCAGCACATTTTTCCTGAGGCGTAAAATCCCTGTTCGACCTTTTGACTTTGACCCTAGTGTTAATATTACATTATTTCCAGGATTTCTGCACTAGTTTCTCATGGGATTCCGCTGTATCATTAATCAAACCTGTGATTTTAAAGGATTAGTTCACTTTAAAAAAAAACTTTTGCTGATAATTTACTCACCCCCATGTCATCAAAGATGTCCATGTCTTTCTTTCTTCAGTCGAAAAGAAATTAAGGTTTTTGATGGAAACATTCCAGGATTTTTCTCCATATAATGGACACGACACCAGACGATGAATAAGGGTCTTATCTAGGACCCTTCGAGTCATGACTCGAAAAAAGATTTGTTCATTTTGATGAACGAGTTCGAACAGGAGAGTCACGAACGCTCATCACTTATAAGCTTATAAAACTTAAACTTTTTTATTTATTTTTGAAATGACCGATTGTTTCGCTAGATAAGACCCTTATTCGTCGTCTGGTGTCGTTTAAAGCCCTTTCAAGCTGCACTGAAAGTGTCTTTTGGGCCTTGAACCGTTTGGTTCCCATTGAAGTGCATTATATGGAGAAAATTCTGGAATGTTTTCATCAAAAAATTTCTTTTCGACTGAAGAAAGAAAGACATGGACATCTTGGATTACATGGGGGTGAGTAAATTATCAGCAAAGTTTTTTTTAAAAGTGAACTACTCCTTTAATTCACCTGACTGGTATCGGTCTGTATTTAGCTGTGGGTCATAGCATTGGAAAACTATAGCAACTACTAAAGATATTTATGGAAGGTATTTTCTTTGTGTCTGATCTGGAATCTCTGTTTTTTTATTATTAGGATGAGAATTTTGCAGAATCTGGGAGGCAACCAATCACATTTGAGAATCCTCTGTACTCAACTGCAGCCGGCCCATCCAGCGACCCAGCAGTAATACACGCTACACAGGTACATTTACTACTCGAATGCCTTTCATAACCTTCTAGACACTTCTGCAGTATTAATCGAACATTTTAATTCTGAGCAAGGTCTTTAGTTTTGTGTTTCTGTGCTTCATACAGGTCACTGTGAATGTCAGTGGTGACCAGGTGGAGAATAAATTCTCAAACCCTACGTACCACACTCGTAAACAACATGCAGTGGAAGTGAAGAGCGTACCTGCAGAGGAATTGACCACTCAGGTTAGGACATCTGAATTTTTGTCCTCAGTTGTACTCTCATACTCTGTATATGTGCGTGTGTGCGTGAGTATGTAGCCTGTGTATGTTTTGTTTATGTATGTGTATATTAGGATATAGGTTCATAGTTTTATATTTTTATTTTTATTCTTTAAAAAAAAATGTTTTTCTCTATGCTGCTACAGTATCTGGAGAGGACTGCTGCAACAGAATTTTGTTGTATTGCATAGACAATAAAGATCTATGTAATCTATCTATCTAAAAGTTTTGCCAATTTTTCCATTGTAAATAGCTACATGCTAATAGTGATCAGACTGATCATGATCAAATTAAAAATTAACTTTAAATTAAATTAATTTTTAAAGATGAAAAATTATTTTAAAAAATGATAAAAACAAGTCTAAATGTGTTAGCATCATGATAACAACATGCATAATTAATGCTCAACACTCAATAAATGATGTTAGCATCTACTAGCTACCTGCTAAAACAGGCTAAGAACATGTGAAGAGTTCAGATGCAAAAGCCTCTAAATGCCATTTGAAATTTTCTTCTTTAATGATGATTTTTATCAAACTTGTATATTTAAGTTCAGTAATTTCACTTCAATAACAATTAATAGGTAATTATCATTGCCATTTAAGTGAAATTACTGAACTTAAATATACAAGTTTGATAAAAATCATCATTAAAGAAGAAAATTTCAAATGGCATTTAGAGGCTTTTGCATCTGAACTCTTCATGTAGTAAAGCATTAAAACATGTTAGCATCATATTAACTGTTAGCATTATGCTAAAAACATGTTAATCATGTTAGCATCATGCTAGTAATAAGCCTAATGCATTATGGCCATGTTTTATTTTATTTTATTACTCAGGAGTCCAAATGGAGCTTCTTTAAAAGAAAACTGAAGCCAAGCACAACATTTGAAAACCCTACTTATTCAGAGGTGAGCAACAAGACCAAGGAAACTTCAAATATAATATATTTGATTGTTTTTATAGCAGAACATCGAATGTACATTGACCACTTTTATAAGCACATTAAAATTGAGATTTGTGACGTTATTGGAATTTAGTCATATTCTGACTATGTAAACATTTATAATTTCACTTGTCCAATATTAATACAACAGTAATTGAGTAAAACAAGAAACAGCTAGCCAAACGATCAAGGAAACGCTCACTCGAGTCCGAGACGAGACCAAGACCAGAGAGGTTGGATAACCTAAGGTTGATATCTTAAAGATATCTTCAAGAATATGTAAAATATTTGGTGGTAACAATAAAATTGGCACTATACTCAAACAGTAAACCAAATATACCATGGACTCATGTACACTGTAATGGTAAAAAGGCCACATAGTGGTGGAAAGGTAATTTTATTATAATTATGACTTACAATTATTACAATCAGTAAGTGCTCTTTCCCATAACATTACTGCACACGAATTCTGTGTGGCTTTAATATGCAAACTGAATTAGGGATGATAAGGCAGACATTTTCGATACATAGTTGAGCTAGAGGCTCCACATTATATCTGACCTGGGTCCGGCTGCATTTGCGCGCCGCGAACGTTATAGTCTCAAGTCATGCGCAGTTGCGCACAAGAAAGTCAGCAATCATTGGACGTTTCAATCAAACAACAATTTAAAGAAATATTAACATACAGTAATAATCATGACATATTTTGAATGGGACTCGGGAATAAGTCTGAGTCCTAATATGTTCGAGTACGAGTCAAAATGTACACGAGTCCATGACAAGACCGAGACCATTAAAATATGGTCTCGAGACCAAGTCCGAGCCTCGAGTACACAACACTGAATAATACACTTGCATTTTGACATTTTAGCGACTTACAGTTTAACCCTCAAACCGTATTCACTTTATAGCCCTTAATCCTGTAATTGTGGACAAATGTGGGCACAGAGGACTCAGGTGTGATCCTAATTTTTATTTATTATAAATGTTATCACTGTCTTCGATAAAATTTTGTCTCCATATTTATGGTGTTTTATTTTGGGGGTATTTTTTTAATCTATGTACATTATCCTTATTTTTATGTTTTATTTGTTTAATTTGTTTTAACTACATTTAAATATCATTCCAATAAGTTCTTAGAGCTAAAACCTAAAGATTAAGTGACTTTGCCGTCACCTGGTGTCTTATTTTGGCTTATTTTAGAATGCTCTAAATTACAGTTTTTCCCATTCATTTCTATGGGTGCCCATTTTTGACCCGAATACAAGATTAGGAGGGTGGTTTTTTCCACCCACTTAACATTGTAGAATCCAGTCAAAAAAAAAAAAATGTGTGTGTTCAGGAGGCAAACTTAGGAAAAGTAGCCGAGTCTTGTACCGCTCAGATCAAGGGAAGTATTTTTAAAAATAAATCAAATCTATTTTGTCCACATTTGCCCAGAATACGGTTTTAGGGTTAAGAAAATCACAAGCAATTTGTCAAAGAGACAAATGTTAAATAGCTGCTCGAGAGGCGTTTCAAACAGACTTGCCTTAAAGAGACTTTGGTTTTAAGCAGAATATGGGTGTTAATCTGAGAATGATGTGCATGCGGTCCCTGATACTGTTAAAGTGGAAACGGTTTTTGCTCTTCCACGTGTCAGATGCAGGACGAGCCGACATCTGGAGCTGCAGACGCCAGCTCTTCATCACAGCCGTCTCCTTTCGTTCCTCCTCCCAAACCCCAGAAGCGAGAGAAACTCAGCGCCTATTCACCGACAGAGGACACCTTCAGAGACACGGCCAACCTGGTTAAAGAGGACAGTGAAATATGACCAACACACACGGGAAAAAATACAAAGAAACACTCCCTTTGCACAGAATCTATTTTTATATGCAGCCTGCATAAAACAGAAATCATTTTAAGATTATTTTTGACAAAAAAAGTATAGATGAGAATAGATGATGTTTGTATAGCCAACATAAAAGACACTTTGCCTTCTGATACTTTGTATGCCAATTCATGTTGTATGATTCTTTTTTTTATTATTATTGTGATGTCATATTTGTATATCTTTGCACTGATGCTGCTGAAGGAGAATGTTATGAATATTTTGTACATTTGTAAATTGAAAAGATTTTGTTTGATAATATCCTCTGGTCAGACATTATTTTGAAATAGATTATTACTTATTCCTGGAGATTCACACACAAAACACACACACATATGCCAATGTTACTGAGTAAAGTGCTTCGAGAGCCATCTGAGACTTTGCCATTTGATATGATTATTCTTAAGCGGTTTTCGCCACTGGAGAGCAAACACCACACATACAGTATACATCACTTATGTAGATATACCTCATTTGTGGAGCGGCCAGATTCAAGAGCAAAACGCCACAGTTTGTCTGAAATATCAGACCTACCGAGTGCAATTAAAGGAATAGTTCACCCGATAAAAGTTAAATATATGTCATTATTTACTCAACTAGACGTTCTCTATGTCAGGCTCCAAAAACAACCATAAAACTAGTCCATATTATGTATGCTTTTGTGAGGGGGACTGCCACTGAATATATGATAAAGAGCTGTGAGAAGTTTCCTTATAAAATTATTTTCCATAATATAATGGGTTACCAAATACATCAGGGTGAGTAAATAATGGCAGAAATGATACTCTAAATACTGTGATTCAGAGAATGGGACTCTCATTAAAGAAAGTCTGTAAAATATCATAATGCAGTGACATATTCTGCTGTAAACACATCATAATAGAGGAAGATGACGACTTCTGTTTTATATATTTAAACAATACTTGAAATTGCCCAGGTTATATGCAAGGGTTAGGATTATGTGCTGGAGATCATCTGATGTCCCATCAGCGCTTCAAGGGCTTTTCATATTTACTTTCCTATCTGACAAGTCAATGGGCAGTTAAGTCAGATTTAAGTGATTTTGTATATCAATGACATTAAAAAAAGAATATCACGAATGTATTCATCTTAATAAAGCCCATTTCTGATGAGAAAAAGAACTGGAAACAAATTAATGCTGCTGTGAAAAAAATCAAATAAATTTGTTTTGTTTGTTTTGAACAAATGTGAAGAATCTTTATATACAACATGCACAACATATTCACGCCTCATGAATAGCATAATTACCAGACATTGCAAATAAACATGACTTAGGCAATTATGCTATGAGGCTAACGATATGTATATACTGTATACTGTAGCTATGTGAGTTACATATGGCTACACTTCTTGTTCATTGCTGATTTTTTTTCTTCTAAAGTTTCTTATAGATAAATATATTTTATCCAAATGCAAGAATACTACTGATTCTATATGTTCTATTGTACATTCTATATTCTATAGTCTTGTATAATGAATAGTAATGCAAGACTAGTAGTCTTACATGTCACTGTTTAAAACACAGAGCGTTCATCCTTTGCTGGACATAAACAGTGCAGTCAATGCTGTTGTTTACATCTGAGTGCCTCCATAATGGCCGCTCATCCGGGTTACCGACCAGTCCAGAGCGTGACGTCAGTGAAAACCCTCCACCAAAATCTCAAAGTTCCGGAGAATCACCCGTTTGAACCATAGACTCTGGAAGAGGTTTGAACAAATGCCGAACAGAGGAGAGTCTGCTGGCAAAACAACATGACAATTTGCCTTGGCTTTTTGGAGAAGGCCGGAAAGTGTCAAAGTAATGCAAGTAGCCAACTCCGCGCTACAGTCTGCAGCGAGGGATATCGTAATGGGGAGATGGTGGCGTTTGTATTACTTAATGGGTGAGTAGATATTTTATTGAACAGATAAATTGCTGTATGTAGCTCTCTAACAGAGTTATAGGGTAACAGAGTATAGGGTCACATCCGCAGTCACACAGAACCGAAGCACAACCAAAACAATCTTCTTCCACAAAAATCATGCAGTTTTGTTTTCGTTTTAACCGCTAGTCTACTCTAGAGGGACAAAAGTTACATAATGTGCTTCCTTTAATTAACTAATTTTCTCTGATTGTCTTCAGCTAATAGGCTATTATGAGTTGAGCAACTAGTGTAGACAAGTGATACTGGTTACTTAAAACTTAATAAATAAATCTTCAAAAAATGTGTAGAAGGAATGAGTGTGGGAGTGTTTTGTGTAAAATTGGAAGAAAGAATTTTTTGAAGTCAGTAGGTCTGCTGAAAGAAAGGTTTGAGATCTTTGTTATTTAAAAAATAAATAAAGCCTCATCTTAAACACTTTTACATTTTGGAGACTCCTTAATTTCAATTAGTCCTTTCATGCACGTTCTACCCATCCATGCTCCACCAATATGCTCACCTCTTCTATATGCTTTTTGATTAAAACAAATTAAATACAAGTTATAACAAGATTGAAGTGTAGCAAGAGTGTAACTGATTATTGAATATATATATATGGCAGGGATTCTTTCGGCTGTTGACTGTTTAGTTGCACTCAAAAGTGGAGGTAGATGAACGTGAGCTTGGGGTTTAAGCAGGCGAAGTCTTATTTATGGAATATGCCACAATGTATAAAATTCATGTTTATTTGATTGCATTTGTTGCATACAGCAACCACAGTTTCAAAGACAAAAACACTTCGTTGAATATGATTTAAATTTACAACCAAGATGCTTGTCTTGATCTATTGAGTGTAGTGGCCTGTTCAGTGATCCTCTGGAACGGTGCTCTTTGGAGTAGGCAGTAGAAAGTTCATGAAGACGTCTGCTACACAAGTAGGCAGGTATGACAGGGGAATCCAGAGAAACTTGGCGTCCCAGCCGGCGGCGTAGCGTGTTCGGGGATAACGTGCTGAAAGAGCGTGCTGCATGCATGACGTCACTTTGGAAAGGTCACTACTGGCCACAATCCTCATGGAAAAAGCCTGCGCCTTTAAATCTGGAGGACAAGATTGAGAGCAATGCAAAAAAGCAAAGCATCATCACATGAGAATCTTCCCCAAAACGTTTCCATCTCTCAAAGATGGCGAATTAACTCATTAGGCTACATCAACAAATTTGGATCAATATAATTAAACAATGGATGTTTTACCCAATGTTTGTGAACTGTGGTGTTAACTTAGCAACATGCTAATGCTAAAAAAAGTTGTGAGTCACGTTTTTTGTTGGATGAGCACAGCTTGTGTGAATGTTTGCGTGAACTATTCCTTATAACTATGCATCATGATATACATGTTGACGTCGTATAAAGAACCATATTGAATGAAATCCCATCTGAAGCACTCACAATCCTGCAGGTATGAGTCTCCGTAGGCTCTCCTGACCTCTGCTGGCAGGTTATTCCACCGTTTCTTCAGATCATCTTCAATGAGGCTCAGATCTGTTACTTGTGTTTTAAAGAAGCCTGGTTCGATGATACTTACCTTCACTCCAAAGTGCATCATCTCCCTCCTGAAAACAGCGAGATAGGGAGAAAAAAAAAGATTTTAGATGCAAATCTCAATGAAGTTGAAATAAAGGTCAAAAAGTCAAAGTATTTCAAGGTTAACTTCAGAAAGACTTTCTTATGGTGACTAAATGTCAAGTCAAATCTACTGTGGAAATTTATTGTGATTTTTAACGGTAAAAGACTAAAAATAAGTAAAATAATTGTAGACATACCTCAAGCTATCAGAGAACGCCTCCACACCCCATTTAGAGGGACAATATCCTCCTCCGACAAGTGAGAGTCTGCCCAGTATGCTGGCCACGTTCACCACCCGACCCCGGGCCTTCTTCAGCAGAGGAAGAAAGTTCAGCGTCACCTCAATAAGGCCGATGAGGTTCACGTCCAGAACCTTCTTAAAGTCCTCCAGCTGCATCCAATCTGTGGGGCCGATGGGGATCGAGATGCCAGCGTTGTTGACTAAACCCCACAGACCTGACACAAGAAAGTTATTTTTTAAAATCTAGAGTATAATTTTTATTTTTCATTGTTAATCTCAATCTGACATAGGCCTACTTTGTATTAGCCTACACTCTAGGGATATCTCTTTAACCTGTAAACGTTCAATAAGACTAAGTAACAAAGGAGTAGTGTACATACCACAAAAATTAAAGGAGTAGTTCACTTTTAAAAAACTTTTGTTGATAATTTACTCACCCCCATGTCATCCAAGATGTCCATGTCTTTCTTTCTTCAGTCGAAAAGAAATTAAGGTTTTAGATGAAAACGTTCCAGGATTTTTCTCCATCATATAATACACTTTAGTGGTAACCAAACGGTTCAAGGTCCAAATGAGAGTTTCAGTGCAGCTTCAAAGGGCTTTAAATGACACCAGTCTTATCTATCGAAACGATCGGTCATTTCAAAGCACAAATGCTTTCCTTGCTCGACTCTCCTGTTCAAACTCGTTCATCAAAATGAACAAATCTTTTTTCGAGTCATTTAAGTTCATTCGACGAACGAAATGAATGAAATGACTTGAAAAAGATTTGTTCATTTTGATTAACGAGTTCGAACAGGAGAGTCACAAACAAACTCTCATTTTTACCTTGAACCGTTTGGACCCCATTGAAGTCCATTATATGGAGAAAATCCTGGAATTTTTTCAAAAACCTTAATTTATTTTAGACTGAAGAAAGAAAGACATGGACGTCTTGGATGACATGGGGGTGAGTAAATTATCAGCAAAAGTTTTTTAAAAGTGAACTACTCCTTTAAGCTCAGTAAAGTGTGCAAATGTCAGGTGCATTACAGGAAAGTGTGTCTTTCTATGATAGGCTAATAAACGATGTAGCAGATGCTCCTCCAGGTCAACTAAAAGCTCTTGTCCAAGAGATTTACGAGTCGGTCTGAGGGCTGTGTGGTCGTCAGAGTGCCTGTATCTCGGCTTTATCTATAGCAGTGCTTGACTCGAGCTGGCACTCTCTATCCTCCGACTCTCACCTCTCTCCCCGGTCTCCGTGCGCACGCGCTCCACGGCGCGCTTGATGCTCGCGCTGTCGGTAACATTGAGCAGAAGCGTGTTGAGTCTGGGGGAGGCCATCGCGCGCAGGCGGGAGGCACCAGGTTCGGTGAGACACGCGGCGATTACTCGAAACCCCCGCTGGTCGAGCTGCCGCGCCACGAGGTTCCCGAAGCCGCTATCGCAGCCCGTCACCAGGACGTGTTTCTCGTGGATGCCGGTGATGCGACCGGAGTCTCTGAAGAACCACCAGACCGCGGCGAAGAGCCCGACAGCGGCCAGGGAAAGCCAGCAGAAGCACACCTGCAGGGGAGATGATGGAGAAACCTGTTCTGAATACTATTTCTGAATACGTTTATGAGGATTTTCAAAGTAATGTCTGTAACTTTGTACTGATTTTCATTTTGTTTGATAGGCAACATTTTTACGAATTAGAAAGGATTACACTTTGTAGCGTACAAAAATACTGCACTGAGAAATACTGAATCTAGCCAATAATAATATATTTTTAAAGCAAAACATAACAAGAAAAAAAATACATACACTAGAGAGAGACTAGGTATAGTTCACCCAAAATGGAAAATGTGTCATCAGTTAGGCTACCCTCATGTTGTTCAAAACCTGTTTTTGAGTTTCTTTCTTTTGTTGAACATGAAAATCATGAAGTCAGTGGGTGTTAACTGTTTGATTACATTCTTTAACATTTTTTTTTTTTTTGTGTGTGTGTGTGTGTGTTCAACAGAAGAAAAGAAAATATTACAGATTTGGAACAACTTAAAGGTGAGTGAGTGATGGGTGGCCTATCCCTTTAAGAATGAATTGACACTGAAATTGACGCACTTTTTTTTAGAAACACCAATAATCGAAACTGTTTAAAATGCTAAATAAAAACGTGTAATTACAGACAAATCATTCAAAAGGCCAATAGGTGGCGTTCCAACCATGTTTTTTTCTGCCAATCATTTATTGCAAAAATCATAACTGAAATATTCATTAACAAATCATGCACACATTCTGCTATATGATATAAAGACACAAGTTGCGTGATTGTGCTCAGAATAGACTGACGTACCATGACTAGTGCAGTCGTCAATGTTTCTTCATGAAAACTCGTAGATCTTTTGTTTCGGCAGTCCTGTCCTGATCCGACGAGCTGAAGGGCGCGCACTGACTGCAGGGTCAAAGGTCTCTCTTGAACATGAACGTCTAACTCTGTAAACGTCACCAAGGTTGTGCAATAAACTCTGGCCTAGTTTAGCTTCTAAACCTTCAAACTTTGATTTGTGTGGCCATGCTCATCACACTTGCACAAAAACAGGTTCAGTATTCCTCAAAATGAAAACAAAAAACAAATGCAAACTCACAATATTATGTAAACCTGCAAGCATGAAATGTTTAATTACACAAATATGCATTTAATCTCACTTTATTAACCAATGTCTTTGCTGCTGACCTTACATAATCATGTCATTGGTTTCTTATTCGCTCAGTTTATTTTGGAGATAATGAGAGGATATCTGCAGTACACTGGGAAAAAGTATAAATGCTGGAAAATTATTTGAAATATTCTTTGTAATCTACCAAATCCTTAATGAAAAAAATCAAAAGACAAGTGTTAGAGGTGTTAAATTTTTATTTACATTAAATGATTTGGTAACACTTAACAATAAGGTTCATTAGTTAACATGTGCTAAGAATGAACAATACTTGTTCAGCATTTATTAATCTTAGTTAATATTAATTCCAACATTTACTAATACGTTATTAAAATCAAAGGTTGTATTAGTTAACATTAGTTAATGCACTGTGAACTAACATGAACACACAATGAACAGCTGTATTTATATTAACTAACATTAACAAAGATCAACAAACACTGTAACTAATGGATTGCTCATCATTAGTTCATGTTAGTTAATGCTTAATATTGCAAAAACTAACATTAGGTATTAAGTAATTATAATATATGAAGAGTTCAGATGCCAAAGCCTCTAAGTGCCATTTGAAATTGTCTTCTAGAATGATCATTTTTATGAAGCTTGTATATTTAAGTTCAGTGATTTCACTTAAATTGCAATGACAACCTATTAATTGTTATTTAAGTGAAATTACTGAACTTAAATATACAAGTTTGATAAAAAATCATCATTAAAGAAGAAAATTTCAAATGGCATTTACAGGCTTTTGCATCTGAACTCTTCATATATTAGTTACGGTAAAGGCCAATTTATACTTCTGCATCGAGGGTACGCCGTAGTGTATGTAGGCGACGCCATCGTGAGAATTTATACTTCTGCGTTCAGGTCTTGGTTGCTCTGCAGTACTGCTCCGAAACGCTAGTTGGCGGCGGAGGGTTTTAATGTTCCACTGTGTTTAGATTCCTCGCGGCTAGGTTACTACAAGCAATGGCGACTGAAAGAGAGCGGATCATGTTGGAGTTGGTGCTTATTGAGGTGATAAAACAGTTAATTTTAGTGAAATTACTAAAACTAAAAGGCAGAAATGAGAGAAGACGTCGGAGGAGATGGTATGCGCGGAAATGCGTAGGAGGAAATGCGATGCTACCAAGCCGACCAATCGCAGATCTTGTGGTCCGTGTGTTCGCGACGTGTAGTTGCATTTTTGAGGAGGTGCGCGTCAGGCTACGGCGTAGGGTACACGGTATGGTAAACGCATTCTCATCCTAGGGCGTCATACAGTGACCCTTTTGAAATTTCGTCTAAATCCAACGCACATGGCACACCTTTAGCGTCAGTATAACACACACAGAGCTTTGTTTGGTTATGGTAGGTTTAGGGTTACACCACTAGGAGGCGCCTTCTGGCCCATATATATCTGCGTCTCATATTGACGCTAAAGGGTGCCATGTGCGTTGGATGTAGACGAAATGTCAAAAGCGTCAGTAAATGACGCCTTGGGATGAGAATGGGCTGGTATGGTACCCGTCTGTGCGTATACCTACTGCGCGCACCCTACGCAGAAGTATAAATTGGGCTTAACTATATATAGTGTAGTGTTACATCATGTCTTAGTATGTTTCATGAGCGTAGCACTGCTGTTTTTGCTTACAGAACTGAAACTTTGGGTTTAATAGAATTTTTTAAGACGAAAGCATCCGAGATGAAGGTCGGCATGTAGGAGAGAGGCAGCCAGAGGAACTTGGCATCCCAGCCCGGAGAATATCTGGTCCGAGGATGGACGGCAGCCACTGCATGCTCCATACAGCTCACCACCTTCATCAGATCTGGATCCAGAATCTTGTCAATCTTGTGAATCACCAGCTTCGCTACAAACACAATTACTAGTTGTAACCTTGTGACCTTTATTTGCTATTTGAAGCTGGTTATTGGATTTGAACTCACTTTTGTCTATGAAATCACTGCCGTATTCTTCCTTCACCTCCTCTGGCAACCTCTTCCATAATCTTTTAATATGAGTCTCAAAGATGCTGGAGTCGGTAACGGCTGTTTTGAAGAATCCAGGTTCAATGCATAAAACCTTCACTCCAAACGGTGCCATGTTCCTCCTGCAGAACAAAATAAAACACCCGCTTAACAGACATGCTTAAAGGAATAGTTCACTTTAAAAAAAACGTAGAAACTCAAATGAAGCTTCGCAACCTCGCAAAGCCTGGAGAAGGGCCTTCTCTTGGCCAATGCTTTGCTGAAGTACAGTCCAATCTTTGTGCTCGTTACCTGCTTGTCACGTGCTACGCGCCCAGTCATGCTATTCTACATCACTCACCAATCAAAAAAAAAAAAAAAAAACGGAAATTTGAAACTTGAGGAAATCTCAAAAACAACGTTTTGCAAGCTTGCAAATCTTATTTTTTGATCTTGCAATACTTTCTTTTGTAAGATCTGCAGAACAAGAAAAATATAAAACATTCTCATATGACATTTTAATATGCGTAAAATATAAATACAAAGTGAGTACTACAAAAAGTAATACAAAGTGTGTACACAATAAACAAAAGAGCAATCATCCATAAATAAGGCAAATTGTATAAATTGTACAGTGCTTATATGCCCATTCATATACTGCAGAGATGCATTTACAGTAGCACTACTGCTTTTGAGTGACCAGTAAAATACTGCAAATACCCATATATAGTAAGTTACTGTAAATTTCATTAAAAATACCCACAATGCAGTGCATATTACAGTAGTTAACTGTAAATAATATAAACAGTATTTTACTGGGCTTTTTGCGGTAAGTAACTGTAAAATTACGACAGTCTAACAGTGAACGTTTGCAGAGATATTTAAAAAAAAATTTACATTTTGCAAGCTTGCAAATCTTACTTTTCGATCTTGCAAAACTTTTTTTTTTTTTGTAAGATTTTGAGTTTTCAAACACTTAGTTTCAACCTTTCAGAACTTTATTTTCACTTTTGAATCATGGCAGGATATTAATCTCATAAACTTCCACTTTAATGGCACTTGACTTGACATATCCTAAAATATGTCATTTGTTTTGTCTCAAGATGCACACCAGTAATCTGTTTTTCCTAAGGCAAGTTTATAAAAGCAACTTAAATGATCTATTTATCATAATTCATTTCAGAATGTTTTATGTTTGGACCTTGCATTCATAACGTATACATTTACACCCACACATTAATGAGAAATGATTTAAATCTGAATACCTCTGATCAGTTTTATTCAGTGGTTATGGGACATACTAACCTTAGACTGTCATTAAAAGCTTCTACTCCATACTTAGTAATGCAGTACGCCCCTCCCATGGTACTAATCCGTCCAAACACACTGGCCACATTGACCACTCTGCCCTTGGCTTTCTTAATGAGAGGTAACACGCTCAAAGTAACGGCAATAACCCCAATCAGATTGGCATTGATCATTGGTTTAAAGTCCTCAATATCCAGCCAGTCATTGGGAGCAGTTGGGAAAGAGACACCAGCGTTGTTGACCACGGCCCACAGACCTACACACACACACACACACACACACACACACACACACCAAATTACAAAATACACCCGTTTTTGTTTTTTTTTTGTTTTTTCATTACAGATTGCTTAATATAAAGCTTTGGTGACAGGAAGTCATGTGAAGAAACTTGACCAACAACTTCATTGAAGAACACTACGAGAAAACAGCGTAAGCAGGATAATATAAACTGTAAAAAATATTGTTGGTTTAACTTAAAAAATGAAGTAACCTGATTGCCTTAAAACTTTAAGTTCATTGAAATTTAAAAAATGAGTTATTATAATGAAGAAGATTGATTTAATAATCAAAAACACAAAATATTATGTTATCTGAACCACATAAATGATCTAAGTTGATTTGACAAAAGAAAAAAACCTTATGATAACAAATCATGATTTTTTTACAGTGTAGATATATCATTACAAGTTTTGCAACAGAACATGAATAATTAATAAAATAAGAAAAAGCATTTCTTTTGAGTAATCCTGATATTTATATTATTATTATTTAAATCATTTTTTTAGGATATTTGTAAAATTCTCATGATCTGTCAATTTAATTTTATAAAGTTTAAACAAAATATAACAAAAATAGGGATATTTAAGTTTATATGTAAAACTAACGTCCTGAGATCGTTCTGGGAACCAAAAATTGTTAGCTGGGATAATATTAGAAATAGACATGTTATGCAACAGAAAATGAATAATTAGTAAAATAAGGAAAAAAACATTTATTTCGACTAATCCTGATATTTATATTATTATTATTTAAACAAATTTTTTTTAGGATATTTGTAAAATTCTCATGATCTGTCAGTTTAATTTTATAAAGTTTAAACAAAAAATAATAAATAACAAAAATAGGGATATATAAGTTTATATGTAAAATCTCTTTGAATGTGGATCCCCCCCCCCCACCCCCCATTTAATCTTACATTATTATGTTGGGTTTTTTTTTCCACAGCTCTCAACAACAAATATTTTTCAAAAGATTTTCAAACTAATAGACAGAAAATCACCATTTCTTTCAGGTGACTTACCCTTCTGTCCCACCAGGGTTTTAATGGTGTCAGTGGCTTTTTTAATGCTGTCATTATCAGTGACATCCAAATGCATTGCAGTAAGTTTTTCGGAGCAGGCCTTCTTCAGCTCAACCTCTCCCTTCTCTGTGTAGCAGCCAGCGATGACACGGAAACCCTTTGTGTCCAGGTGTCTGGCCAGGAGATTCCCAAAACCTGTGTCACAGCCTGTGATATACACAAACTTCTCAGATTTGTTGGGAACTCTTCCCAGTTCTCTGAACCACCGATAGACATAGAGCAAGACTATGAGACCAAAAATGTACAGGAACATGTCTGCAAAAGAAAATATATTTTCCGTAAGAAAAAAGGAATCACATTCATGCAACACCCCAGAAATCAATAACATCAAGATGAGAGAGCTGCATTTGGTCAAAGCTCCACTCATAAAGTACATAGTGAACCATTAGCTGGCTTATTATCAGGTTACACTGTGAAACAGTATGAAGAGCTTGTAAAGACAAATTGCATTATATTATAAAAAAAAAAAAAGGAATAATATTTCTACGTTTGTCTGTTTCTTTATCTTTTCATGTTGGAGAATTGTGCAGATTCGTGAACGAATCGTTCTTTTGATTCGGATCTTGTCAACGAATCAGTTGAACGGTTCATACAAGTCGGTTTGAATTCGTTCACGAGTCGTTGAAGTCAACAATTCATTGAAGCGTTTATTTCAAGCAAGTCCGATTTGAAATTAGCCAAGAATTGAGCTCAAAGAAAGTTCAATCATAAAAAAATAAAATAAATTATAAAAGTTTAGCCTACTGCACTGTAACCTGTTGCATAGACAGCATTATAGTTTTTAATCAATGCACATGAAATAGAGTTGGTTTTAATAAATGTCATTTAATTATAAGTTGGAAAAAAAGTTTATTCGAGAGATGTATATTTACTACATTAGTGTTGTTTATTGTAAATACAAAAGATTTAGAATCTAAATGAATCTAGAGGACACATGAAATTAAAAGAAATGGAATTAAAAAATATCTTCTAAGATTTTCTTTTATTTATGTAAGTTCACAGCTTTATTAAAAATATTGATTGAAACGACACATATCGGATATGGGAACCACACGTTTGCGTTCTGACGTAAAAAGAACCGCTCGGGTTGTTTTGAACCTGTTCTGTTTGAAAGAACCGATTCCCTTAAATTTCAAGTTTACTTCACTAAGTAAACGATACTGTATTATTCTCGCAAATAGGCTACTTGGAATGAACAAAAGTATAAGAAACAAAACTAACGTTGTTGCAACATCAACTGGTCCTTATAAGAAAACGCTTGATTCGATAGGCTACTCGAAAATGCCCTGACAGAAATATTTTGCAAACATCATAAAAAACTGGAATTATTCTTGCAAAACAGTCTACAACTCGCCCGTATTCTACTTACCGTGTTCTTATAAGTCAGCTTTCTAAGATAAATGTTTCTAGCCTACTGCCAGCCTAGTGTGGGAATGTGTTTGTTCTCCCTTGCCGCTTGCATCTGTCAACTGTAAACTGAAGTAACGTTAGGCTAGTCTGCTGCTATTATGTAACACACAACCAATACGGAACGTATTGTACCCGCTGGCATGAAGTAACAAAAAAGGGAGTCCACACGGGTTTTTTTTTTTTTTTTTTTTTTTTTTAACTCTTGCACTTCTTTTACTGGACTCTTGAGCGCCTCTGGTAGCCTACGTTCTGCTCAAGTTCAACATGTGATCAATCAACTCCAGCAGGGGGCGCTGAATGATCACAGCAGAGTAACTCCAGCAGGGGGCGCTGAATGATCACAGCAGAGTAACACCAGCAGGGGGCGCTGAATTATCACAGCAGAGTTTTCTCTTCAGGCGCACTGGAGTCCCACAATCTCTCTGGAAAGTTTGGAAGCTGGTAAAAAATGTGAATTGCAATGGAAAAATCAGGTAAAACTCCAGAGGTGAATGTCTCTCATTTCTCTCTAATATTTTTTACTTACAGTTTCAAAGCAGCTTGAAACGATGGTGATTAGATGTTTTTTCTTCTTCTAAACTTACAATAGCCTAATGGGCTATATGCACGCATAAGTTCCGCATTTGACGTAAGGATGCTCGTCCATTTGTAGATTAAAGCGGAGGAAAACCGGAGAAAACGGGATTATGGCAGAGTCTTCAATATTTACTGTGCTCCCGTCTGTGAAATGAAACGTACATACATTTAGATGTAATTTTATATATAGTTATGTTTATTTAATATAATTTTAAAAAGAAGCATAAACACAACGAGGGGTGTCTGTTTTATCTGTTTTTGTGACTAACGTTTCATTAGTATAACCATGGAGTATAAAATTCAATATAAATTCTCGGTATTGCATTGGACTCTACGATCGGCGGAAGTTATCGAGCATCCTTAATCCTTCACCGGAAATAACGCCGTGCATAGAGCCCATAGCCACGTCAGTCCCTAGCTATCACTCACACCTGCACCTCATCATCTCACTTCACCTCAGCTCATGGTCCGTCTGGATTAGCCTACAGTGTAAATGTTTAGGCCTATAAGTCAGATAATTGGCATATTTATGAATAATTGATTTATGAATAAATTATTTTAAATAATAAAATACATAAAAAGTACACATTGTCCCTTTAATTTTAGTTGATAACAACACAGTTCCTGAGATCAGTTTCTACAGAAGTAGTTTCCTGTGTTTAGGATCGTGTAAACAGCGCATTCCCAAACAGAGGAAACCACCTCAGACTTCTTTGAAACTGTTTTACGTGCTATTGTTACCGCTGCAGTCAGAAAAGCTCCAGAACTGCTGGGCACTTCCTATTTGAGGCACATTCAAATGACTCTTTTGGCAGTGGCTGTTATTCAAACAGTGAATTAAGCGGCTCATCCTGAAGAGAGGAGTGCTGCTTAAAAAGCAGTTTCAAGATTACTCAGAAAAGTTGGACATTGGCTACATTCATACAGGACTGAAAACCCCAAAACATCCTGACAGCGGATCAAGTTCTGTGTATGAACAGGTAAATCTCTTTATATGGAAATATAACAAACATCAAGAATTTAACCCTTTTCAGGCCAAGGACCCATTAAGACCACATAAAGAGACGGAGCTGATACATAAAACTGGGTCTTGCATCTAAAACCTGGCTTATTCACACACTGTTACTTCATATAGATACGTAGGCTATTTATGCGGGATAGGGTTGAGTGCCATTCAGGATTGAATTGAGAATGCATATCTTGATGACCAGGATTGATACCTGATGTTCAAATGACAATGAAGAGTTGGAGAGTTGCAAGATGCAACTTTATGGCAGATTATTGCGTAAACAACGACACCAGCTAGTATCAATTTAGCTGTAAAACTGATTAATAAGTAATAAGTGATTTATCACAAAAAAATACCTTTTAGTTATTCACCGCCCGGTCACTGACCTAGACACTTTCCCACAAAGACGAGGCTATACCTGTGATTTTAACAGCATTTAATTTATTTCAGATAGCTATAATGAAACATAGACCGGTAGCCGTTTATGAATATGAAGCCTGTTTTATGGGTTTTCAACCCTTTTGTAAGGCTTTAGCTTGCAAATGGATGCCATGTTTGTTTGCTTGACATGATTTCATGGCAAAAAAAAAACAAAAACAAAAAAAAACATGATTTCATGGCCTGAAATATGCAGCTTTTGCTTGTTAGCATGTTGTGTGATTCATTGGCCACCAGACGTCAATGACGTATCACTTATTGGTATTTCTCTTTATTGGCTGGGTACGAAAATCAAAATTATTGTTTATAATCCTTTATGATATGTTTTCCAGATATTTTACTGTCAGGTTGCCTAGGACAGGAAGAAGCCATCTTTGAAAAATAGTCTCTACCAGTCGATCTACGAACACCGATCCATGTGCGATGAACTGTGCAGAATCTCATATGGTCCGTTGTTTCCGGAAGAAACACAAACACGAACCGTTTTCTTCTCATCAATATGTACATGCAGACTACTGTTCGCGCTCACCATATCACCTTATTCACATCTCACCACCGCACTTGGATCGGCGTTCGTAGATCGACTGGTAGAGGCTATTTTTCAAAGATGGCTTCTTCCTGTATTCGCGCATAGACATATACACTAGACCTCACCTTGGCTACGGCAGTTCATTGGAACGAATGCGTCGATAGAGCCGCCATCTTGAAACAGGGGAGCCCCTCCACTTTAATGCATCAGCGTCAATGTAGTAGACACAGGTCTAACGGAAAAAAAATCACCATAAATCATCATGAATGTGATTTTTCTTGTTTTTTTGGTTTGTTCCAACGGTCAGACATGTATTTATCATTGATTCCAGAAAGAAGTACACAAAAGTCCACCACCATCAATGAATTCGAAGTAAAGGCAGAGATAGCAGCGTTAACTAGCTACTTCCTGTGACAAGACCCCTGTTCCAAGATGGCGGCGGTTTTGACGCATGCTTAGAACCCCAAGGTGAGGTCTAGTGTATATGTCTATGGTATTTGCGAAGTTGACTGTGTGTATAAAATATCTTCTTATTAAACTGTATGGACACAGTTCTCAATGCTTCGGTTTGAATGTAGGGACCCTTATTATGCTGTCGTGTTAGTGTGGGGCTATTTTGAGCCGTGTTAGTGGTAATAACAAGCGATTTTTATTTGTCATTACTCTATGCCCTATATACTAGCGTTATACTAGCGTTATAGGCTAAACTGTTTTTAGAGATAAAACAATTTACATTCGGCAATCATTAAAACAAACCTCGGATAATGGTTGACTAGGTAACAATGTATAATTAGTCCTTTAGTTGTCCTTTAGTCCGGAGTTGTCCTTTAAATACCTTGGTCTGTTCAATAATAACAGTTTCATGTCTATCCTTTGGTATTGTTCAACCAGTTGAGGTTGATTTAGTAAGTAATTAGAACTGCAATACTTTTAGAGAGTAATCTGTACTGTGAGTACAGATTATCCATGAGGAATGCATGATAAATACACAGGGACTAATGAGTTTAATAGAACACCAGGTGAACGGAATACATAATTAGACAGGGTCAATGACTGGCAGAGGCAAAACAGAACCAAAACACAGCATGTTTTAACTGGATTCAGATAGTGGGGATAAGTATGAGATTTATAATCAGTTATTGATCATTTATGTTTTTGAGATGACATGTCACCAAATGGGTTGAATGACCGCTAGGCTATTAAACTATTATGATTATGATGCATTTATGAATCCAGTCTGAATTAAACTGTAGAGAAGGGGGGGATTATTCAAAATAACTTCTGATTATTATTATAAGTTAACACTGGAACTAAATGGTTATGTTTATGTTTTGTTTCCTATGTGTTTGTTTCTTGCGCTTCAGTTTAGTTTAGCCTTGATTGTTTATTTACTCTCCTTAGCTCCTCCAGGCCTATGATGTTACCCTGAGCCATTGTTCTTGGAGTTTCACTTGTGTCTCCACCTCGTCCTGCATAGATATATACGCTAGACATCACCTTGGGGTTCTAAGCATGCGTCAAAACCGCCGCCATCTTGGAACAGGGGTGTTATCATAGGAAGTAGCTAGTTAATCTCTGCCTTTACTTCGAATTAATTGCTGTGTATGATGTTCACACGAATGAAATCTGAACTAGGAAGAATGTTTTTTTTAAAAAAAATTAAAATTTTTATTTGTTCTTATCAATGATAAATGCATGTCTGACCGTTGGAACGAACCAAAAAAAAAAAAAAAACCGAGAAAATCGCATTCATGATGATTTATGGTGATTTTATTTCCGTTAGACCTGTGTCTACATTGACGCTGATGCATTAAAGTGGAGGGGCTCCCCTGTTCCAAGATGGCGGCTCTATTGACGCTTTCTTTCTAATGAATTGCCGTAGCCAAGGCAATATCTAGTGTATATACTATGCTCGTCATGCTCCAGCTTATTGTCTGGCTCTGCCTTGGCTCCTCCCTCCATTTGTTCTGCCCTTGTATTCCCCCCCTGCTCGTGCGACCCCTCACACAGGTCCTACTCACCCCGCTCTATGCGGGCCTCAATCCCGAGTCCTCGGTGTGGGAATCAGGAATCGCATCTTGAGATCAGAGGAGTGAGGTTTACTCTCACAGTAACTACTAGTTGGCCTCCTAAACCTCACTCCCATCCGGGACGGGTCCACGACACCAATGTAACCCCTCACCCAGGTCCTACTCTCCCCACTCTGTGCAGGCCTCGAACCCGGGTCTCTGCCGTGGGAATCAGGCGCTCTATTTAGGAGGCTAAAGACTGGATCATCAGTTGCTAGAGTGCATCTTGAGATCAGAGGAGTGAGGTTTACTCTCACAGTGACTACTAGTTGGCCTCCGTTACACTCACCCCCTAAACCTCACTCCCATTCGGGTCCAGGACACCAATGTAACCCCTCACCCAGGCCCTACTCATCCCCACTCTGTGCAGGCCTCAAACCCGGGTCCCTGCCGTGGGAATCAGGCGCTCTATTTAGGAGGCTAAAGACTGGAGCATCAGTTGCTAGAGCGCATCTTGAGATCAGAGGAGTGAGGTTTACTCTCACAGTGACT